AAAGATAATGTTACTCAAGGGTAATTTATGTCTAATTGCACGAGCTAAGCCTACGAAAGATAATGTTACTCAAGGGTAATTTATGGCTAATTGCACGAGCTAAGCCTACGAAAGATAATGTTACTCAAGTGTAATTTATGTCTAATTGCACGAGTTAAGCCTACGAAAGATAATGTTACTCAAGTGTAATTTATGTCTAATTGCACGAGCTAAGCCTACGAAAGATAATGTTACTCCCCATAAATTACACTTTCTTTCGCCACTTCGCTGTGGATTTTCTTTATATGCATGCTAACAAGTACATCAGACCAAATTACGAAGCACAGTCGTATCACAAACCAGATGAAATTATATGCTTCAAAAACTTCAAATCTTTGCTGTTCAAGCACAAAACTGCGAAATCGGTTACCTTCACTGCCCCCCCCCCCGTAAGGGGTTTGAACCCCGAATTTTAGCATTATAAGCTCTCAAGTATGCCGCTGATTCAGTAGAGGGAAAATTGAAATTTTTACTTCAAATATATAGTGAAGTATTGAAGTTTTTACGAGAATTTGTTTATCATTTCCAGATTATTCTCCGGCTTCCTTTTTTAATGTCTATTTTTCTATTTCATTAAAAAAAGTCGCAAAGCATTATTTGTATACATTCAACTTTTACCCGTTGTTCTAACAACGTTAAGACGGCTTATCGACTTCTTGAGAAGAATTCTAAGAAGAAAGTAAACCTACAGATATCGGTCTTGTTTAACTTATATATGTATATATATCAAAGAAAGTTATTTAATCTTCAATATTTTGGCATGTCCAACGACGAAAAACAAATTCGGTTTTGTTTTTTAATTGCAATATTAGCTGGCCAGGTGGCTAGGGAGCTCGACTCGCAATCTGAGAGTCGCGGGTTCGAATCCCCATCACACCAAACATAATGGGGAGGAGGAGGGAGGGTATTATATAATCATCATAAAATTACTAGTTGGTTGAAGAGGCTACAAATACATTGCCCTCGTAGAGCCACCAAACCCCCACGGCCCTTTCAGCCGTGGGGGCGTTATAATGTGACGGTCAATCCCACTATTCGTTGGTAAAAGAGTAGCCCAAGACTTGGCGGTGGGTGGTGATGACTAGCTACCTTCCCTCTAGTCTTTCACTGCTAAATTAGGGACAACTAGCGCAAATAGCCCTCGTGTATCTTTGCGCGAAAATTTCAATAACAAAACAAGCAATATTAGCTTTAAGTTAACATTAGTTTAGTCTTCCTTCTTTGGTGTTTTTTTTTTATATATTTGATTAAATACATGTTTAATTAAGATTTTATAAAATGCGAAAGCGCTGCCAGTTGTATTTACGTATGTGATGTAAAAATGGAAAGAAAGTGGGATTGGCCGTAACTTTATAACGCCCCCACGGCTAAAAGGGTGAGCATGATCGGTGACGGGGATTCGAATCCGCGACCCTCAGATTGCGAATCGAACGCCCCCTAACCACCAGGCCATGCGGAAAAATAGAGAAACTATTATATATCAATGAGATAACCACAAAGTCATGTAATTAAAGAGAGTTTGAGGTATATGTAATACGGGACTTACATTTGATTTCAAGACGTTAATAATAGAATATTTGTTCTAAAAAGTGCCGCCAGTGGAAGCTTCGAAGACTAACAACGATAAAACATGCATAACTGGAAAAGGGGGAAAACATATTTTACGAGACAGAAGAACAGAAAGAGCATGGCAAGGGCAAGAGTTTCTTATATTCTCGTAAAGCTACATAAAGTCCGTCTGCCTAGCCCGCTCGTAATTTGTAACTTATATATATATAGAGAGAGAAGGCAGCTAGTGAATAATCCTCACTACTAACAGTTAAGCCCCCAGTGGCACAGCAATATGTCTGTGGACTTACAACGCTAGAAACCGAGTTTCGATACCCGTGGTGGGCAGAGCACAGATAGCCCCTTGTGTAGCTTTGTGCTTAACTCGAAACAAAACAAAAACTAACAGTTAAACTACTGTAATCAAATAGTGGGTTTTGACTGTTACTCTTATAATGCACTCGTGGCTCCAGAGTGCCGAGCGCGACTTTAGGGCAATAAGACACGAACTACGGACCCTCGAATCCGCAGTTTGGTACGCTAAGGTTTAAGTCACGCCCTGCCCTTAAGAAGAAAAATGTTTCGGCGAGACAGGAGAGTAAAAGGAGCATAACAATAAAAAATGTATACCCTAAAATATAAAAGTGCGGAAGGTAAAAAAAAGACTGATTTCACAAGGTTCCGAAGGCGTGTATAAGGAGAACGTTCTTTTGGAATTAGCAAATCCTTGCCATCCAAAAAAATGGTGCTATTACTTATCACAACGAACTACCCATTTTTCTCAAAATTAAGGTAACTGGAAAATATCGTTAAGTTAATATCAGTCATCTATGGATGAAACTGAGAAAAATAATTAAGTTCAGCGTTATGGCTTGTACAGAAAGTGTTTGTTTGTAATTAGGCACAAGGCTACACA